TTACAGGTTGGTTTCGGAATCATTTGCTGCAATGTAATTTGTTCTTCTTTCGCTTTGTTTACTTTGTAATAGTCTTGAAACGTAGCCGTTAAATAATTATTAAATTGCTTGAATACAAATATTGAGACCAAAAACTGATTCAATTTTTAAAGATCATGTTGTTAGTTGATCTAAACAACTGTCCTGCGTGCACCTTATAATTTGATTTAGTTGCTATCCAATTCAATTGGAAGAGTGATGGAAGGATATGTGTTGGCCCAGACGATGCTACTTTTTCAATTTTGTTGGTACAAATTTTATCGATAGTTGTTTGTTTCTTGATTGTTGATCTAGTTGCGATTGTTATGCATTGGATCAGATTTAAACAACTCGTGAGGTGCTGGAAAAGATTTCTGATGACGCTGTTTCATCATTGAAACCTCCAACCAATAAGATGTTTTTGTTTACTTTAAATAATGTCTCTTCAAAATAATAATAATAATTATTAATATTGTTGATGTTGTTTTTATTATTATTATTTGTTGTTGTTGTTGTTCCTGCTACATTTTTGTCAAATGTTAATTCTTTGTTTACTTCAAATAATGTCTCTTCAAAATCTGTTACGACTTTTCTACTATCTTCATTAAGTGTCCTGTAAATTGCAATCATCATTTTATCACCATCATCATCATCACCACCTCGCTACTCATCATCATCATCATCAATCTTTTTATCATCATCGTCATCACCATCTCGCTACTCGTCAGCATCAGCATTCTCGCACACGCATTAACAAAAAATGACATAAATGTAGCAGGAACAACAATAACAACAAATAAAAACAATAACAACATCAACAATAACAATTTTTATAACAATAACAACAACAATAGCATCAACAATAATAATAATAATAAAAACAACAACATCAGCAGCAGCAACAACAATAATAATAATTATTATAACAACAATAATAATAATATGATTGACCGTTGTCATTTATATAGCGCCCCGTTTGCATCTTCCGCATGGAATAAAGTTTTCAAACATTTCAAGACAACCCAAAAAAACGCCCATGGACCGGATCAGGCGAGCACAAAGGATGGACACTTCACTCAGACTTCACCAGCGCTCCATCGCAGGTACTACGAACGTAAATAAGTGAGTGTGTATAATAAGGAGTGATTAAAATGATAATGATGAAGATGATGGTTTTGGTGGCGATGATGATGTAATGACGATGATGATTATGATAATGTAATGATGATGATGGTGATTATGATTATGGTGATGTAATGATGATGATGATGGTGATGATGTTGCTGATGTTGTAATAATGATTATTATATTGACGCAATGAAGGTGGTAATGATGATGATGTGGTAAGGATGATAATGATGTAATGATGACAATGTTTTAATGGTGATGATGACGATGATGTAAAGATGCTGATGACGTTGTAATAATGATATCATTACATATTATATAAATGATATCATTGCAACATCACGTAATGATATCATTATAATATCATAATATCATTATGGTATTATAATGTTAATGACCTAGTCTAATGCAGTGACGAGTTAGGTAAGAATTTATCGAGCAACATTTAACATACTGGTAGCGGTGAATCAAGTTTGAAAAATGTTGTGAATTCAATTGGATGACGCCATGTTAGGATTGGCTACATAAATTTTAAATTGATGATTCTTTCATTCATTCATTCATTCATTCATTCATTCACTCATTCATTCATTCATTCATTCATTCATTCATTCATTCATTCATTCATTCATTCATTCATTCATTCATTCATTCATTCATTCATTCATTCATTCATTCATTCATTCATTAATTCATTAATTAATTAATTAATTAATTAATTCATTCATTCATTCATTTATTCATTCATTCATTCATTCATTCATTCATTCATTCATTCATTCATTCATTCATTCATTCATTCATTCATTCATTCATTCATTCATTCATTCATTCATTCATTCATTCATTCATTCATTCATTCATTCATTCATTCCTTCATTCATTCATTCATTAGCGAGGAATTTTTGCCTTTACTTGCGATGAATAACATTTAATGCATTTTATTATCTAAGATCATTTTCAATGAATTTTCAAGTTCTTATTATATATTTAATTAAATAATTAATTGTTTTTTGTTTTGTTTTTTGATTTGTTTGATTTTATTTATTGTATCAAATAACAATTGACTGTCGTGAACTACTTTTTACTGATATATTTCGATTAATTTAAAAAAAATAGTGTTCCTTGGCAAAAAATTTAAAATAATATATAAATTATTTTTTACAACTGAAGAGTTTGTTGAACATTTCAATTTTAAAACTAAAATTCGTCAGATTCTTTGTTCTAACTACATAGACAATTAAACTTTTCAAGTGACTTAAATCACAATTTACAAATTTTATGTTCTACTACTACTACTGCTGCTTCTACTACTGCTACTACTTCTTAATAGAAGTACTATTATTATACTACTACTTACGCTACTACTACTACTACTACTACTACTACTACTACTACTACTACTACTACTACTACTACTACTACTACTACTACTACTACTACTACTACTACTACTACTACTACTTCTAATACTACTACTAATTGTATATCTTTAAATAGGGCATTAATTCAACAAACATTACTAACATTACTTCTTTTAATAGTAATAGTTACGTAGTAGTAGTTTCATGTTGTTAATTAGTAGTAATATAATTACTTCTTGGTGGTATTGTTAAATCGCACAACAAATGTTCTGATTAATGTTAGATTTCAAGTGTTATTTATATTGCGTTTTTCAAAAAAGGGATTTTTTGGTCCTGTAAACGATCTAGATACGATGTTTAATATATTTATGGTCTTTTGCTGTTTCGTTGGTTGACAACTTTTCGTTGTGGTGTCGTTTGCAGGTTTCATATTGATGTAGTTGCATTGGTGTTGTTGCGTCGGGAAAGTGCTGTCATGTAACTGTTATAGTGTGAGGAACGTTTAAGTTGTTGTTGTTGTTGCTGTTGTTGTTGTTGTTTTTTTATTGTTGTTGATTCATAAAGAACGATTTAAATTGTGCTTAAATCTTGTGTATGTTTGGTTGCTGACGTGAAACTGTCATTGTTTCATTGTTCGGTTATTGTACTGTTTAGAATATTATTTACTTGATGTTTGTATGTTAATGTTACTGAGTGTCATTTAGTTAATGTAATTTTGATGTTAGTAATTTTCGAAATGTTGTTAATGTTGATTGTCACTGTGAAAGACAACGTAGAACTCACATATTTTGGTTAAGTTCAAAATAAATTTTTAAAGTTATGCCGAAAATGAAATTGTGCTCGTGCAGCAACAAATATCTGAAAGTTGGGATAAATATTGAAACATTAGGATGAATTGTGACAGTGATGTTGAAACTGAAACGAATGAAAAATAAGTTATGATCCAAGAAGACATGATGATAAATCGTCTTCCTGCTCCTACATGCATTCTAATGCATCCCTCCCAACTGCGCACCACAGCGCATACCACCACATTAATCATACATGCAAATAACTGGAAATAAATGAATGAAACACACAGCAACACAACATCACAATCACACAACAACGCAACCACACAACAACAAAGCAACAACACCAATCAGACCACGTGTGTTAATGAATGAACAGTGTATGTTTGTTTACCACACACCAACACATTGATGTTATACTATGAATGTCTTTGCCATACGATCTGCATATTATTTCAAACGTTTGTAGTCCTGAATGTTAACAAGCACTGATGTTCACTGACTTCAAATACTCGCTGTGCAGAGGTTTGAGATCTCACTGCAACAACATCTCCAACTCAAACAACATCCCACTGCAACAACATCCCACTGCAACACCATCCAACTGCAACAACATCCCACTGCAACAACATCCCACTGCAGCAGCATCCCACTGCAACAACATCCCACTGCAACGATATCCAACTGCAACAACATCCCACTGCAACAACATCCCACTGCAACAACATTGCAACAATCCAATGACACAACACTTCAGCAAACAAACACGCAAGCAGTTGACTCTGAAATATTGAAATGGTGCAAGCGAGGGTGAAAGTGTGGAGGGAGTGGTAGAGGTGTGGAAGGAAAGTGGTCGTCAGTGGTTTATGGTCGGGCATTAATTGTTATGCAAAGCGTGCCTCGTGCAGCGGCCTTGCCTATGATGATCTACGTGACGGTCACGTCTGATCTTTCATATTGACAATATTCAGGCAGGCTAACATTCGCCGTGGTCTCCACCAGTAGGCAACGACAACATGCAACAAATCATGCAACTGCCTAAAATAACGACAAGCAACAGCTGCATGCAACATCAAAGAACAATGTAGCACGACGTTATTGTTGTTTCAACGACATGAAAAATTAATAAACAACGTCACGACATATCAGAACGTTAATGAATCACCTCCTCCAACATTATGTGCAATACCAGTTGACTTGAAATAACATAGCCAACAACAACATCATTTTTATAAAAACAACAATATAAACAACAACATCATTTTTTACAACAAAAACAACAATATAAACAACAAAAACCATGTTATCAATGTGCGTAAAAGCAGTGCAACAGAATTAAAAAGTTACAACGACAACAACAACAGCATCAGCAGCAGAGTCAATTTTTTGTGTCCGTGAGTATCCGTGACTCACTCGTAAACACGCACGCACACGCTGCTGCTTTAATCACAGTAATAAAACACGGAGTGGTCTGGCACAGCAGCCAGCATATATTAGGTCTGGACACGACACCACGCATTCATTCTTCTTTCGCTTCTTCTTTCCTTCTGCTCATTTTTATATTTTGTTCTTTCGCTGTTTGTTTGTTCTGGGCAAAAAAATTATTTCAGGTTGAACGATCGATTGAAAATGAAAACATACAATGATCGACAGAATGTAAATAAATGAACGAGTGAGTGAGTGAGTTTGTGTGAGTGAGTTAGTGAGTGAGTGAGTGAGTGAGTGAAGAGATCAAAAATACGAAAAAATGTTATTTGAATATATCCCAAACGTTGCATCTGCTTCGATGGTAGAACAATTCCTTCCACTTGTCAGTCCATCATGCAATCGGCCATCTTCAGCTCTTCATCCCGCTTGACAACTCCCAAGTTAATTAACACCAACAACAACTACCATTAATCACGATGTAATTGTGCTCACGGTGACGTCACGCTGACGCAGCAGACCTAATGCATACAAATGTTTGCTTCTATTTTGTCTACGATCTTCTTTACTATCTCGGTTCTTCTGTATTTTTTTTGTTTGTTTAACGTTTTGTTTGTAATGCTGAAGTTTACACTTGAATATTCGTCTGTGCGTGTTAGCATCTGCTTATAAGGTTATATACCTACTTATATGGTTATATACGTACATTCATTCATTTATTTATCTATTTATACAATCAAAAAAACTAACTAACGGCATAGTCATATAAAAGATGAGATCGTAGTCAATTGTCCGAACTGAACAAGTAATTTTGTTATGTTGAACACTTGGTGTCCAAACTAAAGTGCCTCTGCAGACGCCTGTACTGCGCGAGACGGCTTCGAATGAGACCTCAGATAACAATTAAAACATTCATGGCAGGGCAGTCAATAGTCATTAAAATCTCAACGTATATAAGTTCAGTTCATCTGTAACTAAGAGCCAAATAGAAAATTATAACAAAAAAAAATAAATGAAATACATCAGAACATACCCTAAGCACATCAAAATTAGTAGATTTACTTAAATTTAAAAATGAAGAAATATACACATTAAAATGGTAAACAGACTACAAAAAATGTGAGCGTGACTTAATTGAAAAATTTTAAATGTGTCATTTTTGAACATTTTGTTGCAAATGTTAATTCTTACACAAATACATTAACGTGCAATTAATTTCTTAAAATAAAATGCACCGAGCACGTGATTCAATAAACATAGAAGCAATTAAGGTACTGGAGCCTGAGCAATGGGGAACATCAACGCGCCATCCTGTTTCGTGCCATTCAGTCGTTCAACTTCTACTGCTGATATTCATCATCAATTTCTCTTGAACAATAAATATGCACTGGCCACTCGTCCCCTACCTTCTCAGCGCACCCCCAACCATCGAATGTCCTGATCATCATCATCATCATCGCTATATCTGATGTGCAAATTAATTTTTTGAACAAATAAATTTTTAAACCATAAAATAAAGTATAACTAGATGATTTAATTGTTGTTATAGCAGTTTCATTTAATTTTTTTTGTTTGTGGCGAATGTAACTCCAGCGCTAGTTCTAGTTGCTTTGGATGAGAATGTGAGTGATGGTTTTGAAATTGTGGAGCAGATGAACGTTATTTCTAGACATAGAGATTTTAATGCTAAATAAATTTATTTTATTTATTTAAATATTATATAGTTATAACTGAGTTAAAAATCTAAGTTAATGAAATGCTTCATTTGATTTCTAATCTTGAAGCAGCAAGTACTTATGTTGGTTTTCCTACATCGAGAATGTAATATTCATTTCAATGTTTTTAACCATTGTTTTTTTATTGCGTAGATTAGTTAACAAGAACCGACATTCAAATTATTCATCCTACACACACAGTCAGTTAGAGAACGGCGATGACAAACATTCTTCGTTGTAAAGTTTATGTCACTCGCAAGCATTGTCCTGCTAACAAAACAGAGCTTCACATTGTCACCATTTGCCGACGCAAGTTGACGTATTTAGAAATAAGGATAGAGATAATAAGAAAGGAGAGTGTAAGTGCAATGACGTCACATTACGATTATATAAAAGCCAGTTTGCTTAAAGTAAATCAAAAATAATTTCAAGAAAAGTAAAGATAAAAAGTTTAAAAAATTTAATTTAAATAAAATTATAAGAATAAATTTCAGCTGAACAGAAGGATTAAAAGTAGCATCAAGTGAACATCCAATCTTCTGGTGCAACATTGTGAACAACATTCAACAACGCAAGAATAACAAAACAAGAATTGTTAACAACATCAATCATACACCACTTCGACGTCAAGAACAACAACGATGATTTCAAAGTTTTTCCTCTTTCTTATGTGTCTGAACTATCAAGCAGAAAGCCAATCAATATTTTTCCTCGATTCAACAAAACTTGAAACAACAGCAGCAGCAGCAGCAACAACAACGCAACAAACAGCACCACCTCTGGTGGCAAATCAACAACAACAACAGCAACAACCATCCATTCAAATTACAACTCCACTCAAAAGTTTGAACTGCGCAGAGAAGAATGATACCACGGTTCAAATCCCTCCGTACTGCAAATATGTGGCCACCACGAAAGAACTCTCGGTTACTGGAACGTTCGATGAAGTTCTTCCGTACGCTTTCGATGGACTTGACATAAAGTTGTTGAATTTGAGTGGTTTGTCGCTTAAAAAAATTTACCCGGACTCATTCCACAGTCTTGAAAATATGAACATCCTGTATTTAGATAACAATTTGTTGGAAGATATTCCACCGGGTACATTTTCAAACCTGATGAGTTTAAATTATTTATCTCTTCAAAATAATCTTTTCACCAAAGTAACTTCATTGATGTTTCAAAGTGCTCCTTATTTGAACGGACTTTCGTTGGCGAACAATAACATAACAAGCATAGAAGAAAATGCGTTTGCACTCAGTAACTTGAAAAAATTGAATCTTGAAAATAACAATATCTTGAAAATTGGTAGCTCTAACTTAGCTGGTCTCAGCAAAATAATGGATTTAAACTTAGCTCAAAATAAGCTGAAAAACCTTGATTACGATACTTTTGTTAACTTAACCGAACTACAAAATGTCAACATTTCCTTTAACAGTCTTACCTTTCTGTCAAATAATCTCTTTTCCAGTCAAGAACAAATAAACATGCTTGATGCATCTCACAACCAAATTGAAAAAATCGGAAACTCTGTATTTGAAAGAAAACGTTTCATGACTCAAATATACCTTAACGACAACAAATTGAGTCAATTAGATGATAACTTATTTAATGGAATGGACAACATGGAAATTTTAAATTTACAAAACAACCTCATCGACAAAATCACTTCCAACACACTAACCGGTCTAAGAGAGTTGAAATATTTATTCCTCTCAAACAATTTCATTCAACGTCTGCCGAACGGCTGGTTGGACCCCTTGGGTAACTTGTTCACGATCGATCTAAGCAGCAACTTAATTAATGTAATAGATAATGAACCGTTTGACACACCGACACGTTTGCAACATTTAAATTTTAGCAATAACAACATAACTAAATTAGGATCTGGTTGGTTTAAAACAAATGGCAATTTATTAGAATTAAACATGAGAAATAACAACTTGACGACATTTGATGCAGACGCATTCAACGATAAGCCTGTTCTTAACAAACTGGATCTTGGAGGAAATTCGTTGAAAAGAGAATCTTTAAGAGATGTATTTTTAAAATTCAACAATTTGGAAATTTTATACCTGGATGGAAATCCTCTGACGACGTTTGATGCTGATGAGGCAAGATGTCCAGCTATATTGAAACAACTATATTTGAATGTTACGTGTCTAGAACAAGTAAAAATTTTAGAATTCAGTTTTTTACAAAAAATTGATCTACAACAAAATTATCTTCAATCTCTCTCTGTTAATGATTTGCACAACCTAAACGCATTAGAGATTCTTGATTTAAGTAACAACAACTTGACCAAATTAGATTCGACAATTTTAGCATCAAGTCCGCAATTGAAACTCTTGAATTTAACACTCAATTTCGTTGATCAGCTAGGACTACCAACGATAATAGCTACAGGTGCAGTTGTTGATTTTTCATGGAATAAAATAGAAGATCTTTCCAGTTTTCCTTCCGTCAAAACATTTTATTTAAACGGAAATCCTTTAAAATGCAACTGCAATGACTTACCTCACTGGACTGACATGTCACAATTTGGAGATTACCAAAAAACCACGTGCTTGATGAACGCAAATCAGATTCAAAATTTAAATTGTTTTTTAGCTGATGTAAAATTTTGTCCAGGAAACGCCATACCCAAGTCAAGCACATGCTCTTCAAATTTAACACCAGAACGTTTCGATAGACCAACTGTATATAAAACGTCTTGCAAGTTTCCAAGGCCAATGATTACTGATTTTACGGCAAACTTAACTGACAGTGGTTTCACAATGAATTGGAATGCGGGTAATTTAAATAGTTTGAATTGGTTTCTTATAAAATGGGATTTACAGTACAACGACACTTCTAATGCAACTGCATTGAACGGTTCAGCAGTTGTTGTCAGACAGTATTCGACAGTGTGGTACAAATCACAGCCGTTTGTTTATTCGAACAATCTTGAAAAAGCCGGAGTGGTTACAATTTGCGTTGAAACTGTTCCGGTCTACAACACCATTCAGAAAGACGCCAGATGTTCGACCCAGCAATTTTCTGGCCCGGTTCAACAAACGTCTAAGCTATTTCCCATGTTGACATATATCTTGAGTGCTATTGGAGTCGTGTTATTAATACTGCTTGTTTTGATTATTGTTGCCGTTTGTCTTAGGAAAAGAAGAAACAACAAGTTAGAAAAAGAGTATTTGGAGAGCGAAAGAAAAAAGAAGGAACTGGAAAGAAATATCTCCGTGAAATCCATCATCGACCCCAATTTACCAGAAGGAATTCCAGAACAATCTACAGTATCCATTGACATGTATTAATTTTTTAAAATTTTATTTGACAGTATTTTTCTATTGATTTTTCATTTATTTTTTTACTATTGCGGTTACGTTAAAGCAATTTTACAATGCTTAATCAAGCGACTTGTTACAAAATTTTGTTTGAGACGTGCTGGACACGTTTGTTCACTTATTAATTTTTCTTTCCTCTTCTTCAATTTTTTATTTGATCTGTATTATTTACCATGTGTAATACATCAAATATATTCTACGAATCATTAACCGTGTGTGTGTGTTTTCCAGCTACAAAATAAATTAACTTCAAACGTGTACTGAAATCAATTACCTACTCGAGGGAAGCATATGTAGGTACGCGCGCCTTTATTCGAAACAACTAGACAAGATTGAGAATTGTATTCAAATCGACTTGGAAAACATTTTTTCCTTGTTTAGGTTTTTGTCTCTTTAGATCTAATCATTTTATATATTAGTAATTTTGCTTTGAAAATGAAAAATTATTTTATTAATAATTAATACGTTATTACGTTATTACCTAATAACCAATAATAATAAATAATACCTAACTATTTAACGTAACTTGCACTTATTCGTTAACATAAAAAAAGGGTTAGGGTTAGATTTAAAAGCTGGCTTGAGCATAATTCTTATTCTGTAGAAGCAAATGCAGTATTTTGTGACCTTCCATTTTAACGCCTATTTCATTAAAAAACCTGGCGACATCTCTGGAACGATTTTAAAAGTTAAGTTTGTTGACCTTCATATAAAAAGTAGTCGTGTAACCAAACCGAAGAACCAATTTTTAAAAAATATACCAAAAGGTATTACCTACTAAGTTCAGTTTATTCCCAAAATTTGTACTTAAAAACGGAAGAAAATAAATGAAAGCAATAAAATAAAAAATGACTTGAATCATGGCCAAATTTACTTTTTGAAGGTAGGAAAATGAAGGCTTAGAAAGTCTGTTTTACTATATCGAACAGTTGTTCTATAACTGTTTTCAAAACATCATTACCTAAAAGATTTTAAAAATTAATATTACAAATAATAACAGTAACAAAAAAATTACCACAATAATCATGGGAACGACTTTTATTTCAACCGTAAAAACATTCAATAAAAATAATGTTAATTTAAATTTCATCATTTCATGAATATTTTAAATAATTATCATCTTAAAACTAATTATAAAAACTTTTTGCTCTTTGAATAGGACAAGTAGAGTTAGAAAGCAGCAAATCAAGTCACATACAGTTTCTTTCACAATATATAGGCCTACCACCGTAAGATGAGAATACTGTTGATAAAATTTAACTGTTTATAAACGAATCAGACCAAGAAATATTAAAGGACAGTAAATTGAATTTTTTTAAAAACACCTATTGTAAAACTTCAAATGTTTGAACAATTAATTTAAAATGTTTGAAATTATCTTTAAGGTTTGCCTTGAGATTGTTTTTATATTTGAGGATCTTAAACATTTTTGAATGAGCCAGGTTATTTTCGTGGCAATGTAAGTTCCAGCACCTCAATAGTGTCCGGACGTTGTGATTTAAACGCGGTTGATATCGAACATATCTCTTCAACGTTTAGATCAGTATAAATAGAGCAGTTATGTGACTTTTGTAGTTTTAGACAGTTCACAATTAACACAAAGATCTTGTTGTGGCTTTTGGTGTTTCGAACTAGAGATGCAATTGATCCACAATTCGACAGAACATGTTTATTGATCTTGCCGGCCTTACAGAAAGGCCATAATGGATTTTTTACTATGCCCCATCTAAAAAGAACGACTAAAATGTTTAGCGTTAGTTCGCAGCTGTTTAATTAAGTACATTTCAGCGAATTTATATAGAGTTGCTGGGAGATCTTCCAATGACCTAGTAAAGATTACATCATAGCCACACAGATAGCTGTAATTTTTAATTAACTGTATTAACCCTGGCTTTGGAGCGATTCAACATGGCTGTAACACACTTCTATCCGTTTTTTCCAGTGCTTACAACCGCAACCTGCAGAAGATCTGAGTTATTTAATGTTTTATTGATTTTGCTGTAATTGGAAAAGCGAGCCATGTTTGAATCACCCATCGGATTTCCTGTTTGTTTTTTGTTCGTTTTGAAGTAGTTGCGTAGATTTAGTCTCATCGTTTTGGCAGAGTCTTTCAATGATTTAATGTTGTGTTCACCAAGTTCAGTCGGCAGAACACTTCAGCCACGCAATCACTAATAGGAATTGAATATTTGAGGTAGCTCCAGTTATCATGTTAGCTATAGTTGTTGTTGTTAATCGATGTATGAGATATCGCAATGGCAAAAATCAAATTTTAGTTGACTTGGAATAACCTTTTTTGTATGATAATAATATATATAAGTAATATATAGTATGTAATTTTTTTCTACAGTTTCTCACAATGTGTTGAGCAGACAAATGATGCGTGCTCCTAACGCAAAAAGTTTTTCCAACTTTTATGTTTAGGCAATCTTGAACCCTTTTCAACTTTAGACGTAGGCATTTTTTAGTTTAACTCTATGTCTTTTTCAAATGGTTGTCCAATGTTTCGCTATCCTGTGGTTATTCTTGAACTTCGATAACAAGAACTGGTCCGTTCAGATAAAAAGTTGGTCAGCCAGGAAAGGAAATTACCAGTAATTCCATAAGCCTTTAATTTATCAACTAGTTTGGTGTGCGACACAGAATCAAACGCTTTCCTGAAATCGAGGTAAATAACATCACAACTTTCCTTTTGTTGGCGAATGGACATCTAATCACTGAGAAATTTGTAGCAAGTTAGTGCATGTGGATCGAGCAGGCAAAAAGCCATGCTGGAAGTTGGAAATTAACTTGTTGACCGACAAATAGGATAGCATTTGTTTGTTGATTTTTTCCATTACCTCCATTACCCGGCAACACGAGCTGGTAAGCGAAATTGGCCTGTAGTTACCAGGATAATTGGATCGACCCTTCTTATGTATTGGGGTGACTATTGCCGTTTTCCATCTGGTAGGTAGTAGATTATTTTTATAAGATAAATCAAAAATGTGACACGGTGGAGTTGACAAACTTGAAGCACACATCTTGAGCAAGATATTGGGTGTACCATCTAGTCCCATCGAGGAGGTACCCTTTAACCACGCAGAGTTGTATAGACCATCTAAGAGGTGAAGCTAACATCTTCCAACAATTCTGTAGTGCGAGATGGCAGAGAATAGTTAATGTTATTGTAAACGCAGAAACCATTTTTATACTTTTTATCCATTGCGTGAGACTAAATTTGAGACTAAATGATGCTTCCGATCGGCGTCTGATATGATATTTTAAATTTTTAGAAAATTCACGAAGGAAGTGACGTCTTCTTCTAATGGAATGACCGTTACCTATGAAAAGTATTTAAGAGTTTATGCCAGCAATGTTCAGTAAAGCAGATACAATTGCTAAAAACTAAATGTTCTACTAACTCAAAAAATTGAGCAAGTTTTGTTACCGTAATGATGAATAACAAGTTTCATGTCGGATCTTGGTATTGGAATGTTAGAAATCGGAAATTAATGCGCTAGACTAGCCGCTTGATCTGCTTTTTTGTTACTAAGTATTCCATTGTCGCTTAGGATCCAAATTACTTTTATTAAATTATTATTATAATCGCTATTAGGGGATTCCTGGGTCCATCTTGTTTCAATGCAGAAGGCTAAATAAAGAATCTGTAAATATTAGGCATTGAGTTTTTTTTGAGTTTTTTAAATGGTCAAATACCATGTTTAATGCAGTCAGCTCTGCTGTGAAAAAGGTTAAAGGTCAATTTAACTCTTCCAATGTTCAGAGGATTCAACAACACGCACAAACATCGTGTATGAATACATGCTGAACTATGCATCACAAACGAAGCATGTGATGAGGGATCTTTTTTTATCATATTCGAACCCGGTTACTAGGAAACAGCACCTGGCGACCTTAACCACTAAGCCATCAAGTGAGAATTGGATTTTGATTTTGTTTTGGTCCTCTTTGGAGTTATTGGAAAGATGAATTTATGAGCTGGGGTTACTATTGGATTTTCACGTAGAGTTCATTGTTAACTTCAGATGTCTCAAATGTCATGATGTTTCCGATGTGAGAACATGAAGGCTATTGGATGACGACGTACTATATGATCCAAAACATTTCCTAAAAACTTTTATTGATAATGGGATCAACTGTTTTAATGTTGGAGTTTCTTGTAGCACCATAAACTTGGCATCCATAGTCCTAGATTGTGCTTATTGTGACTCGTTAGATTGCGAAGAAATTTTTGTGGTCTGCACTCCAATTATAATGTGAAATAATTTTGATCAAGTCTAATTTTTTCTCGCCTTTAATTTTCGTGTGAGCGATGTGAAGGAGGATGTTTAATTTTTAGTCAAAATTATACCTAAGACTTGAATCTTTATTTTAGAAAAAAATTCTTGGGTAGATCTTTTTCTTTTTCAAGCGTAGAGAGCACAAGTCGATTTGGTTATTGAAAAATTTATGCAATTTTCGTTCAACCAATCATATATATCTATCTATATTTGTTAGTATTTTGTTTACCTCTTTCTAAATATTGTGTGTGCATTTGTCAACCGAATTAATATTGTGTTATCGAGAGTGGCATACCTAAATATGGGCATACCACATGGAAGCCTTTTATCTCCCACTCTTTTTTGCCTCAGTTCTAATAAAATTGCTATCATTATTCCAGTTGACGTGCTTATTTGAGTACGATTTTGCGATAACCATAAAAATCAATCATGCATTTTTGCATCTGTCTATCACTTACAAGAATTAGCTAAAAATATTAGGCATTACATTCAACTCACACTAATGTTGCTCTACACCTCATATAAATGACATCATCACAAAAGAGCTCCAAACATTACAAGCATTCAATACACTTCATTCACATGGTCTCAAAGTTATCAAATTATCCGACCTTACCTTACATAATCACCCATCATCTCAGCTCACACATCAAGTCTCCTACAGTCCCTTTTTGATTCAACTTTACAACATCGCTTTTTCGTAATTCGTGATAAACACTCTGTTAAATCTGTGTTTACTTTTTCTGGCCCTTTTCTCTGGAACTCTCTACCTCCTCCTCCGACTACTTCTCCATCACTTGCAAAGTTCAGAGCGGATCTCAAGACCCATCTGTTTTCAAAATTCATTGAGGAGCGCTGTTGAACATCGCGGAAATAGCGCTTTATAAGCTAATTGATTGATTGATTGGCTACTTTTTCATCACTTATGAAATTCAGAGCTGATCTCAAGACCCATCTGCAAAATTCATAGAGGAGCGCTGTTGGACATCGCGGAAATAGCGCTTTACAAACTAATTGAATGATTGATTACATCTCGTCAAACAATTAATTCGTCTCAGCTGTCTATCTTCATCATACCCTACTGCCACTCAAGAAAACAGATACGTACAAATCACGCCAAACTGAACTACATTCCACAACCATCGTTAGCGCAAACATAAGTACCGAACAAAAAAAACATCACCAAACATTGAGATAAAACTTCCGTTCCAAGACGACTAAAATATCTCAACAGTACCTGAGAAAAGTTAGCAACGGTTTAACGAACGTTCAGTTTTAAGCTATTTCGGGAAAACAAAACGTACAGTGAAGTGTAATCTTTACGAAATAAAAAAAAACTATATTTTATGTGTATAAATTTGGGTCGACTAGCGTCAGGGTTACTGAACGTTTGTTTTCATTTTATTAAGCGATCATTTGCGTATTTTAACTGTTTTAGACTCTCAACTACTATCAGGACATATCACATACTTTTTGGGAAGTAGCTTAGTCAACTCTATCAATATGTATTACCGTAACTATAGGTGCATCGATTTAAATGCGCTTAAAAAAGGCCATGTACCCGGCAGGCGTCATGTCCCTGCGACCGAGAGCTGACGATATCGAACATTCATTTAATACTTATAACGATTTTAATCATTCTTCGTAACTTTCAACGAACACAACGCATAATGTTTGCATGCAAAAATAACGCACTAGCGGGTACTCTTAATCGAATTCTGACCACTACAACGCAAGGCTCTCAGCCGTCTAAACAGGTTACCAAGGAAAAAATTATTGCTAACTAGTCAAAAACATTTTCTGCCGCCATTAAATTTGAAGTATAACCGTCAAAATTGCATGAAATTGAGACATCTGTAGAAATTAAAAAAAATGAATGAGTACATGTTACATGAAAACGCAATAAAAATTAGTGGTAAAAATATGAGCTGAACGAAAACAATGGATTTACAAACAAATAAATGAAAAGAAATTATTCGTCTAAATCAAATAAACTAAACAAATTGTTTCAAAAAGTACATCAGACGTTCCTTTTTACATAAAATAAATCATGACAAATAAATTTTGATGAGAGTACAAGTACATAAATTGTTTGTAAACATTTTCCTTAATTCAATTACACAAAACAACTTTAACTAGAGATGTTAAAACTTTCTTCATTGTTTTTTGCATCACTTGCTACCAAGTCTTCCATTGCATGTTGAGATACATGTTTGTCAAAGCTCTTCTTGTATCTGAACGGAGGTCGATCTGGACAGAGGGAACAAAGATAACCCTGGAAAGTCTCTTTTAAAAATGCATTTGATTCTGTATTTGAGTTGTTAGTTGTTGCAATCATGCTAGGCAAGGTGCTACCTTCATCCAACGGTGGTTTAAAATCAGGATAAACATCATCATTAGATTTAAATAAATTTTTTAATGATTTGTTGTTCATGATAACATTTTCATCTTCACCTTCAAATTTAGCAGCTTCGTTTTTGTCCACATCATCCTCCTCCTGCTTTTCATGTTCAATAAAATCATCATCATCGTTATCTCTGTGCATATATTTCAAATGCATGTTAACTGAACTTTGTAATGTGCATTTAAACTGGCAGAGTTCCATTGGGCAAGTAAGAACAGAACAAATATGAGTTTCAATATGATTGGATAACTCGTTTTTATCACTATTCTGTTCATCACATTCAGAACAAATCCAAACATTGTTGTCAGCATTAAATTTAGCATGAAAGTCCGAAAAATGTTCAACTAATGTTTTCTCATCGGCAGCCAAATGCCAACACAGCTTACAAGCCCTTGATTCCCAGTTATGAGAAGGCATGTGTGACGCTAAATCATGATCTGAAGTTGTGATAAACGAACATTTGGTACATTCCAGCATAGCACCTGGATGATGAGAACTTATGTGATCTCTGTACACACCCATCTGCTCAAAATCAACTGAACAAATTGAACAATTGAGTGATTTTTGTGCTGCTGTACAGGTCTGAGAATGCAATTTATAAATTTCAGGATTAACTGTAGAAAATTCGCAAAGGTGACAAAACAACTCCCCATGTTTCAACATGTGGCAATATAATCTATGAGCTCGACTGGTTGCATAATGACAAACTTTGCAGTTGAAATCTTTCAGAGTTGAATGAACATCAAGAACATGTCTTTTCAAATGCCACATATCTCGACATGAATAATTACATTTCAAACAAACAAATGCATTGTTAACTCGCAGTCTAATTTTTTTCTTTTGTGGAGATAGATTATCTGAATTTCCTTGATCTGATGAGCCATCTAAGTCTTTTTCATTTGTGCTGTTGTCAAACATTTCATTGTTAGACAGCTGGTGAAGATTATCAGTAAAGTGTTCAACTTCATCAAACAATGTTTTGATCTTCTCCATTTTATCATTTACTGAAAGTTTAAGTTGCTTTGCATTAGAAGCTGGTTTATGCATGTTTCTTATATCAAAATGCTTTTCAGGATGATAAGCCATGTGATGAATTTTTGCTTGTTCAGATCTGGCAAATTCAATTTTGCAAGTTGGGCATTCATAAAGTTTGTCCTTGCAATGTACGCTGCCTTGATGTCTTCTTAAATGAGATTTGCAATCAGTTTGATAGCTGCACATCTCGCATTGATGTTTGCGTTTCAAATCTTTTGGCTGTTTTGAAGGAGGAATATAAGTGGGATTAAGGACAATTTTCATTTCAACATTTTTATGCATTGATTTGCTGTGCCTCATTAAATGTGCCTTTGAATCAGTTTTGTAAGAACACCAACCGCAACCAAACTTTTTAATTATTCCAGGCAGAGAATCCATTGACGTGTCCATGGGTTCTTCTTTGATTTTACTAAACTCTGGATGCATGAAACTCCCTTCAAATGGCAATGGCCCTGAATATTTATCATCAAGTTTTTTATACTTTTCATTGATGGCCATCAGAGTGCGTTGAGCAGAAGTGTCAAAGGAATTGTAGACTTCTGAATAGACGTTTCTGTTTAATAAATCACTATTAACACTGACATCGTCTTCCGTGAAGCCATCTTCATTGTCATGTTCATTTTTATGATTATTATGATTATCTGTATCTTTGCTGCTAACAACATTATTATTATTATTGCTGCTGATGTTAGTGTTTGCATTTGTTGATGACAGCAGATATTTATCCTTGCCAAAAACTCTTATTTCAGCTTGTTTAAGTCTGAATGCCAATTCTGATAAGCTCAGTTCCGGCATTCTATACCAAGCAAGTTGATTAATCATGGATAAATTAGGAAGTATTCGCTTGGGCGTTTCATCAGTTTCGTTCAACCTCCGATGATCGTCGTAAGTTTGGAAGGAACTGTCAGAAGCCTCTTCAGATCCATTTAAAGAAGTCATTTTTTAAATCAAAATTTACAATTACTTTTAAAAAATAGAATTAGAACTGATAATATTATAGTTCTCTAGTAATAAAAAATGAATACTGAGACCGATGGCCAAACAAAACAAAGCGAACCACCATCTTATTTAAAACACATGCGACTAAATGCCACAGCTCAACATCATTTTAATTTTTAATAATAATTTAAATTTAACGTAGAATATATTTTCTGTGCAATTTGTTTTTTTTTTGTATTTTTTATTAATATTTTCAAAATTTAAGATTATAAAATAAATCTTAGTATCAGCTTGTAACTTCAATATTAAGCAATAATCTCAACTGTTTCATGAGGGTTCTGGTGCAACAGCCTTCTTGTGGTAGAACCGATTGGACCGATCGACATACCTTCTGTCGACCGCATCCAACAAACCGTTGCAACACCCCCTTTTAACCTCGGATGTCAATTTTAAGTTTTTGTCAACGGAGCAGCCTCTTCCAGCCGACCTGCTCCGTTGTCTCCTTCTCAGGGCCGGAATCGAGTCAAACCCGGGTCCCCCAAGATCTGGATTTGTCCTGTCTGCAATCAACAAATCAACAAAACCAAAACCTCAACCCGTTGCCGCACCTGCTACAACTGGGTCCATTCAACCAACTTCTCGAACAACATTAACGGTCGTTACAACTGTAACAACTGCACTCATATGTCCACCAATTCGAGTGGTCAGTCGGTGTCGGGGGTCGGGTGGGACTCTCCGATGGCAGACAACATCAACAAGCACTTCCATCTCTTCCTGCTCTAACACATCACATCCCCAAGCACAATCCGCCGGACAGCTTAACCTCCTTCAACTTAACTGTAACGGCATAAAAACAAACAAGACGAAATCAGCCAACATCTAATCAAACACAATATTCACATAGCAGCTATCCAAGAGTCTAAACTAACAACAAACTCAAAAGAACCAGTCTTTAAGGACTACGCGCTGTACCGCAAAGACCGTGGTACCGGACGAGGTGGAGGTCTCATCATGCTCATCCATCACAGTATTCCTTACACAATCAAAAACCTACCTCCTACGTCAACAACAGGAAGTCAGGCCATCACCATCGGGGCCAACGGCACAGATATCAACATCATCAACATCTACATCCCTCCACAATCAGTCTGCCCCTCCGGCTTCTCAGCTTCAATATTACAATATTTGACCATCCCAAACGTGGTTCTGTTGGAAGACGTAAACGCGCATGATGCGCTTAGGTACTCCAGTTTGGAGGATTTTTGTAGAGAATCTTTAGCCAGCAAAATTGAAAACTCAGGCTGCGGCACACTCAATCTGGATACCCCAACCCGTCTCCCCTCAACCTGAAAACCGTCATCCCCCGATATATCTGTTGTTTCGGATTTTCTGATTGTCAACATGGAATGGTCGACAATGACCGCACTCTCTTCTGACCATCTCCCAATTCATATCACCCTCATATCCACATTTCAACAGACAGCATCTCCTAAAATCAAATTTATAAACTTTGCCAAAGCCAACTAGGAAGGCTTCACTTTCAAAACTGAGGCCGCGTTTACCAAAACCTCCTTCCCTCCCAATCCATCGGTAGCCGAGAGATCGTTTTGTCATATTTTGTATATCGCAAGTGACCACAACATTCCTGCAGGAAGACTCATCACTCACATCCCAGGTGAAGGTAGGGTGGTCTCTCGAAGAAAATCACAGCCCTGATGAAAAAACGTGAAGATCTCAGAGCTAACACTTTCACATCCAAAGACATTGCCATCCTCACCTCAGAAATTCAAACTAAAACAGACAACCTCAAACGCACGCGCTGGAAGGATTTCCTGGGCACTTTCAACAAGACAACCAACACAAAAAGCCTCTGGAGCACCATTAAGTCTCTAAGCGGCAAACCAATACAATACCCCAACAATGCTGTCAGTTTCAACAATAGATCAACAACCAACATCTGGCAGATGGTCAACTCATTCAACAAACAATTTACCGCAGCAAAACGCCATATCTCCAACAAATCTAATAGATGCACAACCAAAGCCATCAAGAAACTATCTCTCGATGACCATCCCACCTTCACCGATTTTTAGGTTGCCACAGCTATAAAATCATCAAAACCATCTAAATCAATTGGACCGGACAACCTGACAATCTTCCACCTAAAGCACCTTGGCCCTTTCGGAATATCTTTCCTGACCAACATATTCAACGAATCCATACGTTCGTGCAGTATAAAAAGGCAAAAATCATTCCCCTTCTCAAACCAGGCAAACCAGTGGGCGAAAGCAAATCCTATCGACCAATATCTTTAGTATGCCCGGCCGCCAAGGTCCTAGAGAAGTGCCTGCTGTCGATCATCACTGAGCATCTCACTCTGGCAAACCATCAACATGGTTTTCGTTCAGACCACTCTACCACCACAGCATTATACTTGATGGTTACCGATGTTGCCAATGGCTTCAATCAGAAAAGGCCAGCTCATCGCACAGTCCTCATGGCTCTGGACCTCACGAAAGCGTTCAACACGGTCAACCACCAGATTCTCCTTTCTGACCTCCTATCGTCATCACTTCCAAGGTCGATTGTCCGGTTTGCTCTCAAACCATTTACATGGTCGTTCCGCATCAACAGAGTTCCAGGAACATCTTTCCAAACAACGCATCATTTGCTCGGGAGTACCCCAGGGCTCTGTTCTTTCACCTACTCTTTTCAACTACTATGTAGCCAAAGCACCCGCTCCGCCTCAAGGCATCAAAATCATCTCCTATGCCGACGACTTCTCAATCTACACAACCGGTCCAGATGTAGATATTTTGACCCGCCGGCTCAATTGCTACTTTCAGAAGTTATATGATTTTTTCAATAGCAGAAATTTAGAAATCTCCACTTCTAAATCAACAGTTTCACTCTTCACATCTCATACATCGCAATACAACCACCATCCCCAAATTAAGATAAACAACCAGCTTTTACCGCTGGAACACAACCCGAAAATATTAGGACTAACCTTGGACACAATGCTGTCGTTCTAACAACACCACAAAATGGCAGTGGCCAGGGCCACCAGAAGGAACAATATTCTCAAGGCTCTCAGCAGCACCACATATGGCCAGGATAAAGAAACACTCCTACAGACATACAGAGCCATTGGGCGTTCCAAAATTGATTATGCCTGCCCGGCTTGGTTCCCTCTGACGTCCAACTCAAGCCTCAATAGATTACAACGCTCTCAGAATGCTGCTTTACAACTGGTTACAGGCTGCCACGGAATCACGTCCGAGCAGCATTTACATTCAGAATGCCGGATCTTAACAGTGAAGCAGCACTCCGAATTGCTATTCTCACAATCCCTTCTACAATGTTACAAACCAAGCCACCCGTGCAACATCATTACCACTCAACCACGACCTCACCGAGATATGAAGGACACTCTCATCTCAAGATGGTCATCAACGGTCGTAGCGGTGCTTCCAGCGAACATCAACAACAAGTCTCTAAAGGCCGCATCCAACACTCTTCATAGTAACGCCGCCAAAGCCGCCGCCGAGTCGTACCAGGCACCGATAGGCACCGATACTGCTCAATGGGTGGCCACCACCAACCCCTAAAATAGACAAATCGAAATAAACCCTATCAAGGGCAACCAGGTAAACCCTCGCTCAACTCCGATCCGGCCACAACACCCTTTTGAACAGCTACAAGAATAGACAGTGGACACATTAACATATGTCCTTTTTGCCAAACACATCCGGACGATGTGCCACATCTGTTCAGCTGTCCACAGAATCCCACTGTCCTCAATCCAATAGATCTGTGGAGAAACCCGGTCGCGGTGGCGAACTGGCTCAGGCCTCGCCTGGAACCCAAGTCCGACTCTTAGGAAGGACAACAACAACTGTTTCATGAGAACTTGACTATCATCTTCCCGAGTAGGAAGGCGAGCAGTTGAAAGTTACCCTCTGAGTCATCTGTGGGAAAAGTTCACTAAATCCCGGAAATATCTTGTACAGTACTTTAGCGTCAAGTTTATGGGGAAAACTCAAGACGAACCCTGAAGTAATTAGTGATTGTGTAAAGTATCTTTGGAGTTGAAAATTGGAAGGCATTATTACAGAAATCGAACGTCTCCAAATACAGCAATTTTTCCAGCCAAATGTGGTTTCAGTGCAAGTAATGATTTCCGGATGAAGCAAAGAAATCAGCTGAATCTAACACACTAAGGAGACCTTAGACTGACGTTGACTAAATCTGAGTCAAACATAAAAACACTGCGTTCAAAATCAAATTCATGTGTCTCAATAATTTAACACAGTAAATAACAATAGAAAAATACAAATTTCAGACATTGGAAATGTGAAAGTAATTTTTTAAATAAATATTTTGCACACGTTTTATTTTCCTGCTAGCTGTAAATAATGAAAACAAGTAAATTTGAATAAAAATAGCATAACATATGCTAGAATACATTTAGTAGCATTGAAATGTCTGATATGGTTTGAGGGACTTGATTTGGCGGATTTAAGTTGGGCGAAGGCTCGTTATCAACATGTATGATGCTAGGTTTAGAAAAAACATGTCAATAAATTGTAAACTTATTGACAGCTTTTTTTCATACCGAATGGTATGAAAAAAAGTTTTTTGATCCACCGATGCATGCATGGAACAAATAATGTTGGTAAACACTGCTTTTTAATATCATTGCAATTTCATGCGGACGTTCCTAAATGTAATGCAAGAGAATTCTTGGCAGTAAGTATGCAACAGAGTCAGAACTTTTTCATGCCAAGCTTTAAGAAGTAGATTTAACGAAGAAAGAAAGTAATCTATCTTTTGCATTGAACAATTAGTTATACAAGGATGAATATTATTTGAACGATTGCGAAATATGCCAATATGAAAACCATTTGCATCAAACTATTGTCTATTAAAAGAAATGAGCGATGAATAATTTTAAAATGTAAAAGGAACATTACGACAGCGAGAGATTGGAGCACCTAACTTACACTTTCCCACACACAAACTGCTTTTGATCAATCATCCAATCGCGACAAACAATTTGAGTGTTAAAGAAAATAAAGTTTAAAAAAGATCTGAAAAATCTATCACGTGAATAAAAATGCCCTACATGCTTTTAATTTTAATTTTTTAGTAACTGTTAAAGTTTTCTATAGGGAATTGTAAATTTAAATATATAAAAGTTGTCAGACTGTTTAATGCTTAATCACCAAACTACACTTGCGCGTTATTATTTTTTGAAATTTTTTTGAAAAGATTGTAATAAATGTATATTACTTAAGTTTGTTTATTTCCACAGCAAGTTCATAAACTGCGTTTTTTCTTTCGAACGAACCGGTCACACATGATCGCTTGAGCGTGTAAGTTATTGTAAAGGTGAATAAGATTCCTACAGGTAGCAGCCAGTGAGTTGTTTGTTACTATTGTGTCTTGTTTAGTCCTAGTGATCTAATCATCTACTCACTTGTCAGGCACTCACTCACGTCGCATGCCTTATCATTTTCACTCAGATCATTTCTATTGTCTGACTTTAGTTCGATAACTATTATTTTCGTTCGACGTTTTAGAAGGCACAACACTGAACAAAAAGTGAATATCCAAATTAAATTCAATATTTGTTTGGCTCATTTCATTACTTTTATGTTTGAAAATATTTCATGTACCACGATGAAAAGACGCACTTTAATTAGTGATCCCACAATTTACTCGGCCATTCACTATTCAAATATTTTTCCAGTACAATCGCACAGGAACTTGGTGATTAATTCAGCGGCTCATAGCCATAGGCATCTAAGTATTTCACATTTTTTGAAACATATTCGCATGTTATTATTATTGAAGAAAGCGATCAAATGACGATCGATTGATAAATATCAATTCGCATCTGCCTAACTACGTAGCATTGATTAAGTCGGCAACAGCTGGTCTCAATGGGCTCTTAAGTTCCAATTTCGAGTTAATGTTAATACTCGTCATCTTCACGTGCTTTCAAAAATTTCATCACGTAAGAAAAAATTGTGAAAGTACAAACAAACGAATTCATAAATGAATATAAATTCGTAAAGAAAGAATTGCATTATCAATATTTTGTTGAATTAAAGAACAAATTTATTCACGTGACGAATTATTTATAAAGTTTATTAGGTTAAAAAATATGACGAATTATTAATAAAGTTTATTAAGTTAAAAAATATTTAAGTTTTTTTTTCGTATTGTCTATTGGAAATTGAAATTGTAGAGGTATGTATAATGAAACCCAGCCACAAACTACACACATGCAACTTAAATAATGCAAATAAATGATGAAAAAATACATGTTCACACAAATAATGAAGTTATAAGTTTTTGTCAGTTTGTATAAATCGGAATGATACATAGAAAACTTACAAAAAATCATAGCCAAAAATATAAAAATTAAGAAGCTGTTGATCAGATAAATAAGCAATTAAATAATTAAGCGAGTGACTGAAGGAAGAATGATATGTTGAAAAATGTGAAGGTGCGACACTCGATTGAACTGAAAGGCTCATCGTTCGATACAAAGTTGCCCGCTCAACTGTGACGACGATCATTTTTATTGCCAACCAACTTTCAATCAAACAACTGTGTGTTTGTGAAGCTAATCACCATTGAGATCATTCCCAGGCAGTAATTAAATAATTTTTTTCAAGCAATTAAGTGCAATGTGAAGAGGAGTTGCAATCGGAATGCGCCACAGTATGCTTGGTTTGGTTTTTAAGAATTTTGTCAACTGTATAATTTTTAAACTTAAGAAACAAATTAGAAAAATTAAAATATTTGAAAATTTTTAAATTTTCCTCTGGAAAAATTATTTCGTTCATTTTTATCCGTGAGCCAAACTCAGCAGGACAAACGGGGAAAACATTGCAAACAGACTTTCATTGATTCTTTAACATTTCTACAAAAATAAGTTCTAGACAAAAAAAGTTAACCATTTTAACTGGACGAATTTATCCTGGGAGCGTCAGTCTAAAGAAATTATTTTGTTGGACGGTAGTAAACCTATTGTGCTGCTGATGCAAATAAATTTATTTTATTAAATAAATAATTAAATAAATTATATATATATATATATATATATATATATAAACTATAGCCATCAATTAAAACGTTTGATATGCTCATGTTTGTGGCTATGTGAATTTATTGCTCGTAAATGTTGAAAAAATAAATTATGCAAAAACTAAAACAAGTTATCGATTGTGACAAAGAAAGCTGGCACAGGGATGAATTATTGTTCACTATTCATTCATCATCAGTCGCAACGCAACAGCTTTCCTATCCAAATTTCGTACATTCTTTATTTCAAGCTTCAGTAAAATATTTCGAGGTGCTTATATATTTAATAATAATCTACAAAACATGATACCAACAGTTTAATAATAATTTATACATAATCACAGATTTAAGGTCTCTGTCAAACATTCATCAGACACAATCGACGCCTGCCTTATTCTCAGTAAGACTTGGACAACTTACGATGATTGTTTGTTATGATCAGAAATATATCTGTTACAATTATTTTCAGTTTAAAAAGCTTTTAATTTATATATTACGTTATATTATATGTTTTACGTATTACACATGTTTAATGTGTACTGCATATTTGTTTATGTGCCATGCATTAGTTGCGTAATTATTTTGCATCTGTCGTTTAATACCTCTCTGTTTTAAACGTTGGCTTTTTGTCATATATCTGTTGTGAGTCTTCGTTATGAAATGCTGATATAAATAGCTTAAGTTAGATATTATTTAGTCGGAATACAATGGTGACAGAGATGTTAATAACAACTATCTGAAACGATTAATACCTCATTTATATGATACGGCAAGAACCTAATCCACACGAGAACAAACAAACTTACTAGCACATATCAATTTCTTCTGACTAACAAATGATTTAAATATTTAAATTATAGAAACATCGCACACATGCGCGCGCGAGCACACGCACACACACTGTTTACTAATTAATAATTTTATGAATTTTATTTATAAAATTTGTTAATTCACCGTGAATTTTTTCTGTTTGCTGAAACTAACTAGTTGGCTCGAAATAGATCAGCCGTAATATAATTCTTAATCGTAATTATTCGCGAAACAAAATATGATTATTGAGAAATAGTTAAAAAAATAAAAATTCATTGTTTGCATTGAATGTCTACTCAATTAATTTTTCGCAAAAAAGATAGTTAATTATTTTTTTGCACATAGAACGGTTTCCCTCCAAAAAAAACTAAATCAGATGTAGTCTTCATTTCGTGATTCAGCCATGCAAACCAACATCAGTGCATTGGCATTACATTATATTATATTATATATAGCAACATAATCGTGCCTCTTACAACTTGATGAGGATACAATTTTTTAAAATTCTTTTAAATTTCTGCGACGATCATTCACGAACGTCAGTAATATTTATGCAAAGCAACTTATTGAATGTACGAAATAAATCACATGAACAATAGAATATTTCAAATATAATTACTTGCCATTAAAGCCTGTTTGAGTAAAATACACACATCTCTTATTATCGATATTCTTACTTACTTGATGGCTGTGCACTCCTCACTCATACACGTTGTTCGCTGCGCAACTAGTTTGGTTTGAGGGCTGTTGAAAAATCTATGCGTCCTTGTTTGGAGACTTAGTCAAATATTTTCGATTTATTGGTTTTTGTATGTGATTAAAAATAACAACGTATCCACTTTTTATTTAAACAAGAAATTTATTTTCATTGAAAATAACCTATAATTAAATGACGAATGGACATATCACCACATATTATTCATCGCAAAACTCCACCACACCTTAACTTGAGGAGTTTTTATTTATATTTTTAAACATGTTTATTCATGTAAAAAATAAAATATTACAAATCAACATGCTAAATGATAAGCTAAATTCAATAACAAACAAGTCGATCAAAATTATTATATACATTCTTTATTTATGAAGTTTTTGAACCAATTTAAACGGAGTTGCTTATATATTAATTTTATATGCAATTAAACACAAA